ACAAACGAGTCTCTAAGTGATTGTTCTTGTCTCTGATGTAACGTGTTTCCTTTTTTCAATTGTCGCTGGTGGAACCAGCCTCAATTCAGATATGCAAACCACTGGAATTCTGGGAAGCAGTTGCAGAGACATTAAAGGGAGAGGGATTAATCGAAGCTTATGTTTGGTAATAATAGGTTATTGCTAATCTCTGACTGTTGTGTTCTTGTTTGTTGTAAGCAATAAAGGTTTTAGCTCTTATGGTACTTTGACCTCCTGGTAGTTTATTTGTAGATTCTATGGGTACTATAAAAGTTTGTCTTGTTCATGTTTTTTCCAAACCTTTTATATTAACGGTGTGAATGGTATTGGTAAACTTATGGATTTTGTTTAAAACAAAATATCTTCTGTCCATAAGCAAGTAAAAACTTTAAAAAAATATATATTTTCTTAGTCAAAAGTGTTTGGTTCACTTTCATTTGGTTCATTACTAAAAGTTGAAAGTTGAAACTATGAATTAACTTCACTGCCATATGTACAACTTAAGAAATAAATATATATGAATGTGTTCTTATGGTATTGATTTTATGTTGGAAATAGCTTTTTGGCCTTGAGTGGTTATTTAAAGAAGGAGAAAATCTAAAATCCTCGGATTTTCATTGTCCCTATTTATTCAGAGAGAGGAAAAAACCGTTTCTTCTACTCCAAGAAAACGATCTTCTTCTTGGAGTACCTCTGATCGATAACAATGGAAAACGAAGACAACGAAAGTGGGTACGAAGCTGGATCAGAAGTTTCATTACCTTCTTCAGATATCATCAGCGATTCCGATTCGAAGGTATAAAAGCTAAAAACTCCCCTGTTATTGGTCCGATTGATGAAAAGAAATTGCATTTCCGACTACTTCCTTATTATCCTTTATCTTGATTTGCGCCTATCTTAATAATCAGAATCCATTGCAAGAGTTCTAGAGTTGTGTTTGATTCTTAGAAATATCTGCGTCTTTTATTTCTTTCTTGAATAGTAAGATATTTGACTCCAATTCTTGAATTGGCAGAGAGATCATCACTGTTTCTTAATCTCAAATCTTTATTTCGCTATCGATAACAGAAGAAGAAGCCTTGTGAGGTTTGTGGAAGTGATGCCAATGACAATTTGCTAGTGACATGCCTCGCATGCAGAGAAACACGAGAGCATACGTAAAAATCTTTAACTTGAAGAAAAACTCTTTGAGATCCTTATACTTTGATTATTACAGTTTTAACAAGGATCTTAATTCATA